ATTAGCCTCAAGCTCAAGCACACCTCCTGCAGACCTCGAAAGCACATGTCGTCTCAACATAGCCAAGATCTCGCTATTCTTCCATCTCGCAGGCACAGGCCTATACGCAGGCTTAAACGTGCCCACCGTCTGCGCCCACTCTCCGCTCCTGGGCTGACCTTGTCTCCACTCATCAGTCTCCAGCTCTGGGCCAGTCTGTTTTCCAGCATCCGTTCCTTGTGCTACTGGCGACATTTTATCCGCCCCACTAGCATTGGCAGTGGCACCTTGAGCTCCCTGACCTGCACCTTCGGCAGTCTCCTGTGATGTTGGTGTAGGTTCTTGTGTTGCCCAGTAGTATATGTCCCAATCGTTCTCGTCGAGGAATAAATCGTATTGTGCCATTTGTGCTGGTGTCATGTCTCGTAAATGTGCTTCGGCGAACGTCGACATTAGGAGGTCGCTTTCGAGTGTGCCTCTTTTACGGCTTTGATCTGCAATGGTAATTGATTAGCTTTGGTCTCAGTCTGAGGATTGGATAGGGATCAATGCGGACATAGTAACCTCGCCCTCATGGTATTTGGATCTTCTCCAGTTCTGCGCAGAGGCTCAACCTTGAACTTTGCTCCTTCCATTTCTCCAACTCCCATTTCAGTATTTGGCCTACTATCCAGAGCACCCTTCTGTGTGCCGCCCGTCACTCGCTCGGTATTCTCTGGGACAGAGTCTTTAAGGGTGAAATCGGGGTCAATTGATGTAATGAATTCCGGAGGAGCTTTGTTCGCACCAACAGATGGCATCTCGTTGGAAATTGTAGAATTGGTATTGGTCATATGAGGATTTAGAGGCTTTTCTGTCTGTGTCTTGCGGTAGTCTGATGTTCCCTCGTGCTCTTTCGCGTTGCCGGGTCCAGCCATTCGAAGTGATGTTGATATCGGTCGTGTGAAAGCTATTGAAGGCCTCACAGAGCGGAGAGCCAGCCTAAGTGAAGACATGTTGTACTTTGGAAGATTCAATGCCGAATGTGCTCAAATTATATAGCCTAATTGTTGTGAACGTGGTGAGCTCTGAAGCTTTGAAATCTGGGGAAACTTTTCGGCAGCGTCATAGACATTTTCGTACCGAGGAACACACGTGATGAGAGGGTTGCCCCTAACCCCTGAATCACCCGAGAGGAGAGCCAATCAAGAGTATAGTACTACAAATTAAGAATAATAGTCGATTAAGTTTATTTTATCTAAGTCCAATTCTCCTTAATGTATTTGATGCTAATGAGTTGCTCGATGCTCCCATGCAAATAGCCCAAATATTCATTGCCTACACCATAACCATGCAACATGGAGCAAATTTCAGTCATCCTCAATAGTTTCAAGTTCATGTCGATCATTAGAAGTCCCAAAACTATTCACATCATGCTCTAATCTTCGACTCCGTTCATAACCATTCGTTGACTCGTCGTCTAGCAGATTTCGTCCAATGTGAAGCGGCTCCTCTTCCGAGGACGACTCCATGGATTTTCGACCCACGAAGGGCTTCAGTTTAGTGAATAATGTCTTCTTCTGTGTGTGGTGGTTTTTAGACATCTCCGGGGGTGTTGATATTGCAGATGATGAGCTTGAATTTGCAGCTACCGAGGCCGGAATGCGCTTTGCACGGGAATTCGGACGAAAGCTTCCAGTGTATAAATTATGCAAATCCCTCCTCGTCGTCTCACTTCTCCCCGTCTCTGGTTTTAATCTCGTTCTGGGAGGCGGAGCTCGTCTAGGATATTTGAAGTCTTGGGCGTGACTTAATTCGGCAGTTGTAGCATTAGTTGGATCGCGAACTGTTTGACCACTCGAAGGCCTCGTCTTCCAAGATGGACCAATAGACTGGCGAGTTGCTGGATGCGCAAGCATTGATGAGCTTGCTTCTCTTCGATCACCCGCCTCATCATACGCAGGAGTCTTCATGCTTTGTTCAAGCTCCTCAATCCCACTACTACTGCTACCAAAGACGAACTTTCTCCACACCTCATCTTCGTCCTCCTCTTTGCTCACGGCGGCGGTTGGCTTGCCGATGGCCCTTGGGGATTGCCCGGGACTAGTGTAGATATCGGGTTGGAAGTCGGTCGCGGACTCTGCTTCTGAGGTTTGTGGTGGACGCGAGCGCTGAGTGTCTTCCTCTACCTCCCGAGAAGTCCATCTTGATGGCGGAGACTCTAGCTGCTCAGAGGACGTCTGCTGCCCTTCAGAAGACGTCTGTTGAGAATAATCTGGAGCCTCTGGGGATTCCGGCTCGGAAATTTCTTCCCTCTGGCTGGAGGTGTTGACTTCGAATGGACGTCGAGAAGGAACGGCACTAACGCCGGGGCTGATGTCCCCCTCTTTATGATGTCTTGTATCACCGAAGTTGCTTCTATCTTCGGACCCCTGCTCTTGAAGTAAAGGTCCGATCCATGACTCCCATGCCTCGTTATCAAGAGCTTGCGAACTCGGAACTGCAGGGTTTGTTTTTCCTACTTCGGCCACCGTGCTTCGAGCCTCTTCGGGTGATTCGGATCGTATCAGAACAGACACTCGGGAGCTTTTGGGCTTTGGATGATAAATAGAAGAAGATGACGAAAAGACGACTTGTTGAGGAAGAGGGCTGTTGTATAAACCTCGTGTTGGTGCTGCCTCCTGATTCGAGAGAGATGACTGGTCTGTATTTCCTAGCTCCTCAGCGTTTGGGTTGCCTCTGTCTTGACCATCCTCAAGCGTCTCGTCGTTGGGAATGGGAGAAAAGCCCGCCCATCCCTTAAATATCTGATAGTTTTCAGGCTCTTGACCGCCTCCTGGTTCCTCGTCTATGTCTTCAGATTGAGAGTGAACCTGCGAGAGTCCGGAAGGTCGATGTGTGCTATGGTTCTGGCTGCCAGAAAAAGGGCTATAGTGCTGAACAGCATTGGTAGGTGTTTGTCGCTCTTCTGCTTCGAAGACGTCTTCGTTGTCCAATAGCATCACATCAGATGGTGTAGCTTGAGACCTATGGCGTGTAGCTGTCCGTGCCGAGCTCGAACTTAAGCCTGGTGGTACTATTCTCCCGCCAATCGATATTCTTACATCTGCCCGCCCCGCCGCTGCTTGTTGCTGTCTTGCCCATTCTGAAGGCGCAACATGTGGTGGACAACGAACTCTCGGAGGAAAAGGGGATGTAATGTGAGTTTGTCGTATCTCGTATCGGGCTCGATGACCATGTAGTATCTTCCTTCTTTTGCCAATGTTCTCTTCGTCCCTCGGTGATGCGAAGGCGACGTGCAGTGGCTTTTGCATGCCGACTCCAACCCAGTCTCCCCTGCGTAGAATCCTCCTTCTCTTCTCAGACATCGATTCCTCTTCCTCCTGCGGCTCTGCCAAATTCTCCATTTCCAACAATGGTACCGAGTTCTCCCGTTCCTGTTTGTATTTCCATGGTGGAGGAGTAGCATTGTAGACGTCATCGTCTAGGACAGGACTCGGTTTAATTCGATTTTGCTCACGCTTTCCAGTTGCATGAGCAGGAGGCAAAAGATTGGCCGGGCGCTTGGAGATTGACCTGCTCTTCTCGCGACTTGATGTCTTTGCAGGAAGTTGTATATCAGACGATTCTTGCTGAGTTTGCTCGCGATCCTCGGCGATGAGGTCGAAGACTGACCATTTGGCAGGCGACTTGAACTTGGGAGCGCTGCGAAGGGTCTGCTGCACTCGAGCAAAGTGTTGCTTCTGCCGGTGCTTGATGGAATCAACTGCAGTCGAGTGCCGTTGAAGACGGCCTCCCGTCCAGTTCATTGCATTTGTGGTAAGGAAAAGAAGTGCATATAGATTGGCGCTGGTGTAAGAATCTTGATTTGATGTAGATAATTCGCACGAATGATAAGCATGGAGCGAATGCTGGTGTTGTTGAAAGAGAGGATGGAACCGGACGACAAGTGGTTCTGACGGAAGTTCGCTTAAACATGCTGAAGTCTGTTGCTCGATTGGCTTCAAAAAATTCATTGAGTGTCGAAGGAGGCCCTGCCGAAAACCAAATAAACCAAAGAAAAATCACATTCCGTAAAATAATTAAAGGTATTACGGTAGAGAGTATTATATATCCTTACTGTCTTGCTGGGACTTACGTATGCTGATGTTCCTGCCGGCTTCGGTGCCTTTCAAACCATCGTGAGCCCCATGTAGGAAGAGGAACACCAACGGTATCATTCGGCCATTCGGCCCCCAAGACTTTAAGAATTCATACATCATAATTGCAGTAGATTTATGAAAGGATGAAAAAGAAATCCCTGCTAGCTCTCTCAAAGTCTTGAATCTGCATTGTCACTGTACCCCTCAATGAGGAGGTAATCTCCAAGAGAGCACGAATTCGAACCAAGTAAGTTAGGAACACTCATCGCCTAGAGCTTACTCATTCTAGTAGTCATCTGAACATAATCGTTTATCCGCTGATCTGGCACTGAGACGGTATCGTGTTCGAGGTTGGCGGTGAGGATCTGGGGATCCGGATGAGGAGCAGTTATGAAACAGTTCGGTGGTATATTCCACCACTGCTTCAGGGGCACTCAGCTTCTATCGGCGCAAACAAACAGAAGAACTATAGTAACTAGTGCGTTCCAATACCATGGGCGAGTAATGCTTGATATGTGGAGAAGAGGAGTATGGTCGTGTGCTCTGAAAACCGTGCCGCCGAGATGCTGAGATTCGGTCATCGTTCATCGAGCCTCATGTAACGCTGTTCGGCATAGCTGCCGAAGGGCCCAACTCTATTCTTAAATGTCACCGGTAGTTGATTACAGGTTCAAATAAGTACCGGGGATGAGATTATAGACATTGATTCAATCCCTTCTTTGATAGAACGGTCTCTGTACAACTCTCGGATAAATGAAGAGAGGTCCTTCAAAGTGAGACAATAATTCGGCAACAAAATGCTCGACATATCCCGAAGTCATCCCGGCGCTAACGAAGTCCATCCTCGCACTTACAAAATAGCAGTATAGATTTGAATAAGCAGAATTCGCCAACATCCCAGGTGGTGTGGTGTAATGGTAGCACGTCAGATTGTGGCACAACTACAATGGATCTCTGTCAATCTGGGTTCGATTCCCAGCACCGCCATGTTCACAGCATGGATTGATATTCAGGGTGGTTTGATTCCATCAGAATAGATCTTATTTTTTTTTTTGTTTCTCCGTGCTTATGATAAGCGATATCGGCAGCACAGACATTTTTGAAAGCTAGTAAGTACCCGCTTCGACGTCCAATTGTGTCTTACCTTGTGGGTGAACACGTTCGTCCTGAGAAAGGAGACAGACAGCACTTAACTCATACGCTTGGGGGACTTTGGGAGAGTACATCACTCAACTTATAAAGCTAATTTCATGACGCTTTGTTTTATCTTTTTAAACACTACAAAGACAATTCACTAGTACCGGAGTCGACAAAGCCTCTGCGGCTAAATGTCTGACAGTCCTGGAAATCTTGGCTCTCTTGAATGTGAAAAGCCGTTATATATCATGAGTACACTACATAAATACACTGTGCCGCAGAGATATCTACCTTTGTACCAGCCAGCCCTTATCCCAGGCCAAAATGCACATGCAAATGCAGTCGCTCGTTCGGAATCGGTCCATCTACGACAACCTCCTGCGCTCATGCAATAATGCATGCTACCCTCAAATCAACCCACAAACCCCATCCTCTCTCTCAATAATTCTCCCAATTCGTATTCCACGGCTGACTCGCCTTCCTCGAATCCTCCCCATGCTTATAATCCCTCACCAACTCCTCCTCATCCACTCCACAATGCATCTCCCCATCCCTGCCTATAAACCAGCCCAGTCCATACATCTTCCCCACCTCCCCCAACCTCTGCACCATCTCATCGTTATTCATCTTCTCCGTTCCCACAAAATCATACAACATCTTACTCTGATGTATAAATGCCAACACACTCGCTATCGTATTCGGTTGTCTAGGCAAAAACGGATGGCGTCGTCGGGAATAGACGAAGGTGGCGACGAGGCAGAGGAAGGTTATGATGGTGATTGCGAGACCGAAGGATAGCCAGAAAGAGAGGAAGGTTTCTTCTCCGGCATTCTGGCCATTTTGAGCGTCGCCGCCGGGGTGGATTTCTCGTCGGGAGGGGCCTTGGGTGCCGTTTGGTGGGGGTGGGTTGTTGGCGAAATCTAGGCCGGAGACGTTTGCGAAGGATGTGGAGCAGATTGTTAGTACTTCGGCGAGAACGGAACCTAGTCCTACGAGAGCGACGAGGAGGTGACCGTTAAGGAATGCGCGGATGGGCATCCAGCCGAATGCCATGGCGGTGTAGTCCAGGGTGAGAACTTTTGGGGAAGCATGGCGGCGAGAAAGGATGTAAAAGGGTTCGATCATTCGGACGTCGGTTTCGAGAGTTCCCCAGGCGAGTTTGATGCAGACGGCAAGGGCAGTGAGGAACCATGGCGCTTTATCCGTTATTGCGTTTACTGAATGTTGGAAAAGGACAATGGGTATCAGGATCATGAAGAGAATCATGCCGACGATGAAGGGAATGCCTGCTTCGAGCCGAAGCATGAGGGGGTGAGGATTCTCGGCCCGTGTCCGTTGATCGTATTTGTCTTTCTCTTCTTGTGTGAGAGGGGCTGAGGTCTCGGGTGCCAGTGAAGAGTTTCGAAGACTGTAGCGATGAGACTTGAGAGTTTGATGAATCAACTCTGGATTTGCAGTATCCATGTTCTTGAAGTCCATGAGGATGTGGCTTCTGTTCGCCATGGCTGCGATTCCAGCGATTCCCTTGACATCAGCCACAAGTCCTGACGGCCGTCTCTCGAGTTGATAGACTAAGATACATCCCATAAGCGCAATCAAGAGCAAAAATACGCTCAGAAAGCGAGAGTAAACAGCATTGATACGAATCTCTTTGGGACCCGTTGGATTTGCTTCTCTTGCCGCACGGTCCGGTGTCAGGTCAACCGAGGCGGCTTGCAATGTTGGGACGAGAGATACAGCAAGTAATGTGGCGATCGAGGACACTGCGACCGCGTAATGCTTGTATTTGAATGCTCGTACAGGGCGGAGAAAGTTGAAGAAAGTGATGTAGTCGACCTAGCGAGGAAGTTAGTTTTGAATATCCTGGGAGAGGAAGAACATTGACAATAGCTGAAAGTCTTAGATCGGCTGGGACATTGTGACAATGAACAACGTGCCACGAAGTGCCGGACAATGAGAATGAAATGAATGTAAGAAATAGGGTGTGCTTACATTTATAGATTCAGCAGCCAGTGCCCCACCCTCTTTCGACAGCTGATAATATGCCTCCAATCGCTTTACTTCAAAGTCTGTAACCTGCCACAGCACGCCGAACGTGACAGCAACTAATGTCGGTAAGTATTTGAATGTGAAATAGTTCCAAGTACTCAAATTCCTGGCGGTGGTGAATGAATACAATACTCCTTTGCGTAGCAAGTACTCTTGTGCGCCTGCGAGGACCACCGAGACTATTATGAGAAACGAGAGGTAAGGCCACCTCATCGAAAATGGCTTCCAATTAGGCTGTGGATAGAAGACTTCTGTCGTAGGAACTGATAAGGTGTTCTTACGAACATTCTTCTTGTCCATCTGATCGAAGTCCAATGTCGCAGTACTTCCACCAGCGAAGGAGCTGATATCGAACCCAGGTGCTTCGATGTCTCTAGGCTCCTCTTCCACAATCACCTGGATAACCTCGCCACGCTTATTGGCTTCCGCTTGACCTAGCTCTCGCACTGTAGCTTTTCTTGCCAATCCTGGGGACCGGAATGAAGAAACCCTCGTAGTGGTGTTCCTGAAAGACATCCTCCGTGATATCGATCCTGGCGTTCGAGGCGTCAGAGGGGCGTAATTCATCAAATCCGTGCTCGTGATTGTCGTTGCAGAAAATCCAGCTCCTAGACCTCCAGTAAGTTTGCCCGCTGCTTCTTGTCTTTCGAATTCCTTCAGCTGTTCCTGAGTTTGGGGAGGGCCTAGGAATGATGATACGTCGCAAGGCATAGGTGAAAGTATTGGCGTAGTTTCCGGCTCTTCTTCTTCCACTGTCGAGTACGCGGTCTTCTGCTTCGACAATCCCATCGGCATCGCAGAGCTCAATAGACTCAGGTCTATCTCTTCCTCCTGTATGCTGCCGTGCGTCAAACCTAGCAGAGACCCGCTAGAACCAGTCCTTCTCTTCGATAACCTCTTCAGACCATATTTACCAGACGTCGGCCTGCTCGATGACGGTGTGATGGGTTCGTATGATTGTGTGGGAGTTCGAAATGGATTAAAGCCTCGCGAGGTTGGAGATGTCGGTGTACCAGCACGGAGAGTATCTGGAAGCAAATTGGACATGGACAGCCTGCTCTGACCCTTCGAGCCCTCCGATACAGAACTGATTCCCGAGCTGCCAGTTGACGATAACCTCACTCGACTGATATCAACCTCGTCCGTTGATCGTGCATGCTCGTCTGTGGGAGATGGCAGAGAGACAATAGAATCTCGGTGGCCTGGTCCTTGATAATCATCCATCGAACTGACCGCAGATATCGAGGATCCTTGGTGTCTCAAATCCGGTCTACTCAATCTCGTACTTCCACCATATGGATAAGGATAAGCGTCGTTCGGGCCATTGTTGGCCATTGTCTATGCTTGAAATTCGAGGTAACGATCGAGTTGAGCGAGCGAAAGTCGTAACGAGCGTCCAACTATCAACAGCAGATCAGCATCTGAAGCTCAAGATTCAAACAGGCTACAACATCTGATTCAGGAAATAAGTTGGGACTCATACATCCAACTCACCAGCCCGGCGCACCTCCAGCGACTGGCGACAGTCCTGGCAGGTAGCGTATCTTCTCAGACCAGAATCCAGCTCCAGCACAAGACTAACCACTATTTCCCCCGACCCTCTCGAACCTCTGTTTATGACTTCGCGCCCGGGAAAACACCTCGTGTCACCGTCTCTTCTATCTAGCGACCGCGGCACACAGTACGTGACGTTGGATCGTTCTCACCTGCGTCAGGCTCCCTGCAAGGCACAGCAGCACACCGTCGGAACGGTCGCAATGTTGCAGACCTAAAACTGCTATTCAATCAAGGCATAAACAACATCGTTGAAGAAAACCTAACAATTCAAGGCTGAGAGAAAAGCGACAGAATAATAAAGAGAGAAGAACAGGCCTTTACGCAGCGACAGAAACAGATTAGACCTACGGTATTCGATACTCCTCATTCAGATGAACGGGTGCCAGGGCTGCCAGGGCTGAAAGACCTGCTGCCAACCTGGATGGGAAGGCCCCCAACCTTGGGACGAAGAGAGGCGTTCGGTGGAACCAATCAGATAAGCGCTGGTAAGCCGCGAGCTAGAAATAGAAACTTCGGACCTGAATGCAGATGTCTGCCGCGCGTGATAGCCAAACATTGAGCCCTGATTTTAAATGCTGATGATGATGCCAAACATGCGACCTGATTGCGCGTATTTGAGCTTACCTGAGCTTGGGATACGAGCTTGTTTTTGGGGGGAGTTGGTAGGGCTGATGATGCTGGGGAGAGTGGACTGGACTGGAGCGAGCTGTGTTGCCGCTTCGGAACGAGTCGCTAGGGTCAGGGGGACCTGACCCGACGAGCGAATCTGAGTGATGACCGACAGGGGAATGAAACTCATGAAAGGATGATCTGTCTCTCTTGGTGACTCAAAGAAGAGCGAATCAATGGCCTCGAAATATATAAAAATATAAGAAGTGGACGAAGGATGAAAAGTGTAGAATGTAGGCAAGCTTCACTTGACATCGTCAGATCGAATGAGAGGAGAAAGGATCTTATTGACTAAAGCTCTCCTCGGCTGAAGCGCCTACGTTCCGTGAAAGAACTTGCCCTCATCTACGCCGTAACTCAATCATACACCAACTCTAACTCAAGATCCCCATATTTATCACCGCTATGCTTATGCGTATTCACAAAGTTTGCCGCCCTGCCGCTAACATGCAACCTGCTCCAGCCAGAGCTTATTATACATATGTACTAACATCATCTTGGTATCTCATACACTCGCACTCCCCTCTCGACCTCATTTTGCCTTTGGTTCAGGTTTTCCGGACCATCTGGCTTTT